GAGTTTCAAGCTGTCAAATCCGGGACTCAAACTGAGTTTGGCCACATGGGAATCTAGTGCCCCAAACACTATGCTACCTGCTGGCTCAAATAAAGCACTTATAAACTTGCATAGCCATTAAAGGCATTTAAAAGAACAAGAGAAAACTCAGGCCTGCTCCATGGCCTCATAGTTAAGGGAGCCAGAGCCCACATGGTCAACTTTGCAGTTTAAATCCTGGTGTCTTGAAAACACCTTAGGGCATATGTGGGTGAGCATGATCAAAATTCCAACAGGATGGAGAAATAGAGAATGGACTGCAGTATGACCACATTATGGTGCAGGTTGTTCTATCCCTTTCCCTCTTTCTGGCAGTGCATGTGCCCACTGGCAAATTAAAAAACAGAGAGAAAGGAAATTCAAGTATAGACTGCATAAGGTCTGACTGCCCAATAAGACACATGAGAGGTACTGAGCAGGTAGTAAGAATTCACAGAGGTCCCTGTGGTTATATAACACCTACTAACAACTTCAATTAACTTTAGACTTCACAGTGAATCTGGTTAGTATTTACTTGCCTTTTAGACTTGGGAACAATTTAATCAATTTGCTATGCAGGCAGTAGAATGACAATGAGTCTTTGTCTCTCATACAGGCTACCTTTTCATGACTAGGATCATACCTTGAATTTCAGAGCAAGTTTTGATTCATTTGGATAGTGTAAAGGAAAAAAAATACATCAGAACTTGAACACTACAGATGTAGTCAAAAGACTGCAGGTTCTGATCAATGCAGGAAAAAGTAAGTCTTGAATCTGCAATGCTAAGGGCACACAATGGGGCAAATTCCCAATACCCAACTGGTCTCTACAAAATAAAGATGAATCTGAATTCTCTGTGGTTATGAGGGAGAGAGATTATGCAAAAGGGAAACATCAAAGATTGGATATCTCACTATTGTTGCTAGTCACCCAGGCATATGGAAGACACTATTAGCAAAGTTCAGAGTCAGATTTAGCTTTTGCTTGAGCTTTAGCCTTATATTGGTGACATAAACCGAGAATCAGAGAACACCATTAGGTGCCAGTACAATACCTGGGGTATAGAAAATGGATTTTTAATATTCTAAATATATGATGAAACAATGTTTGGTGGTAATCAAGGCAGTATGAAAAAGGGAAGTATTTTGAAAAGTGAGCAGGAAAAAAGAAACAAACCTTTTGAAAGACTTTTCTCTGTGAAATTAGGTTTGTAAAAGAATTTTAGTCAAAAGTACATGCATGTGTGCTATAATTAAAAGAAATTCAACTTCATTTCAACTCATTAATTCCACAAATATTTATGTGCAACAATTGGGAGAAATGGACTATTAAAAACAGAGATAAGACACTCTTGAGACATTTCTAAAATAGCCATTTTCTGCTTTCCTAGGGGATTGTGGGGAGGTGTCATGAATAAGAATAATTAATGTTTTCAATAGCATATTTAGTCAGGAATGGGGATCTCCAAGTTCATCTTCTTTATTAACTGCTACTTGGAGATTAAGTCTCAGTTACAGAATAAAAGGCACACAAAATATACAAAGATATAATAAGTACACATGCAAAGTACTTGGGTTAACCTCAATTTTAAATATCCTTTCCCATTTTCTTTAAAGTTTGCTTCTGTTGTCAGATTATATAGCCCACTTCTGATTTGGGCAATTGCCAGCTTGGCAGGCACAGAGAAATAGGATCTAATGACTTCCTGGGTTTGCTCAAGGGAAGGACAGGAAATGGCAAATTAAAGTCTCCTTAAGCAAGACTGAATTGAAGGGTCATAAAGGCAAAGCTATAAAGCAGAACTGTAAGAAGACAGGAGGGAGTAAAGCAAAGAAAACCAGATAGGTTATCTTCAGGAGGGAAACTCTGGAGAGACATTTCTTTGGGTTTTGGGAGGAGGTATAAATGTGACAAGGAAGCGGGAGATAGAAGCAAGCTCATCCTGACCATTTCTTGAAGGTCAAGATGGCTCACAAAAAGACTTGCGTCGACACCAGAGTCCTCATTTTGGAGTTCTAAGTAGCCCTGGTGCATTTTTATTTCTCTTTCGGAGAACCAACCATCCCATTCTTAGAGAATGGTCTTGGCTGTCTTTCAGGGTAAATTGGTTATCACTGGATCACAAGGAGATGAACTGGTTTATTCAGGGACATTTATTCCTTACAATGAGTCTCTCAATTTAAAGTACATTCCAGGAAATATGCCACAATTTTATGTACATGACATTTACATAGAATGAGTCTTCTTTACTCTCTGGTCCAAGGTAGAGTTAGCTATTTTTAGTTAGAAAAATTTGGATTTGAATTTAGTTTTACCAAGGCTGACTTTAAGATCTGGGGCAAGCTATTTGAATCCCTCTGAGCCTACATTTTCTCATCTATAGAAAGGAGACAAATTCTTCTTCATTGAGCTTTAGGGAGATTAAATGACCTAAAATACTTTAAAGTACTATAAAAATGACATAGGGACCAGCAGATGGTGGAATGGTTACATCGCTGGACTCCCATGTAGTTGACCATGGTTTGAGTCCTGGACCCAGAGGTTTAAAACTCATGTTGAGCACGTGTGCATGCGTTCCTAAGATTCTGAGAGGAGAATGGAGGAGAAGGGATAGCAGCGTGGCCATGCCCCTTGGGGGGTGATTTATTGCTTTGTGTCTCTCTCTGTCTCTCTGGTAAGCACATGTGCCCTATAGCAAAAATCTCTCTCTGAAAATAAAAAGATAATAAATGACAGCTATCAACACTCTTTACCAACACTCTTTGACCAGATTGTCATAGTATAGAAGGAGAGTATGCAAACAACCAACAAGATAGGAGCTCTTGACCAATGAGCTAAAGGAACACATTATTACACAAGAGCACCGATCATATCCTACAAAAATACACTTACTCCTCGGTAACATTAAGTTATATTTACAATGTCAGTTCCAATTTTTTTCTTCCTGTTTCACTTTGATCCCCACAATGATGAAATACGGAGACAGCATTGTTGAGACAGGGAGGTAGTGTTGTTATATTTTGATCAACTGGACTGGGGAGAAATGTTCACATATTGAAATGATCACCTTGTAAGCTAAATAATGTGACTGAATGTATTTTAAAAATGTAAATAAAAAAAGAAAGATTTAGCATAAATGGATACTAATTCCTCAATAAAGTAGAAAAAAATGTTTTGTCTACCATGATCGTCACTGCCAAAGAATATTATAAATGATGCCAAGAATAAAATTATCATTAAAACAACCCCAAAAAGTTCAACATTGCCTCCTCATATATGATGTCCTTGCTGTATTCTCAGATTTTCACCAAATATTTCCTAAGTACCCATTAAACAGTCACACTGTCCCAGGTACTATAGGGGACATGAAAATCATTAAGACACAGTCCTTGCCCTAAAGGTGCTCACTATCTCATTAGAGAGAGGTGCTGGTAAAACTGATAAAAAGGCAAACTGTCAAGGAGTTCTCTGAGAAAAGTCAAAATGTTCTAGGAATATAAGCAATAGATAAATTACATCCAACTGCAGAGTTCTGTGGGGAAAGTTATTTTGAGCAAGGTCATGGAGGATGGGTAGGACTCCTTTGTCAGATATGGCACTGAAGGGTTGGGGGTTAGCAGCTAGGCTGAGAAGCAAGCGTAGGCTTGACCCAGAAAGTAGATATAAGCAGGATGTATTCAGAAATACTAGCTACAGCAGCACAGCCAGAACACAGGGAGTACAAAAAGAGACAAAGTCGTAAAAGCAGGACAAGAGAAAATTGTGGAAGGTTTTGAATGCTGAACGGGGCAGTTGACTTTATATATATATATGTATATATATATATATACATATATATATATATATCTTGTGCTAGGTGTTAGGTGTTGAAATCCAATGAAGGAAGAATGCCATGATGGGGCTTGGTTCTGGAAAGATGTATAACTAGAGTCAGTATGGAGGATTTATTGGAAGGATAGAAAAGAGACTAAAGTGAAACCAACCAGATAAGGAGCTACGGCCATAGGTCAGAGGTATTAAGAGCTGGAAGGTGGGCAGTGGCAGCAGAAAGCAATGGATGAATGGCAGTTTGCTTTTTCATCTTCAGGTGATGTACTCCCCGAGGGCACTGATTCTCAGACATACTGTGTTGCCTAGATTAAGAGGTCTTGGTGCCTTGGGCTAAACCAAAGAAATGAAAGCATTCAAGTCCTACAAATGTGAACAATTTCTACTTTAAAGACTTGCCTGGTGGCATTTGTCTGAAGAAGGCGCATTGTAAGCTAGAAGTGATCGTGTGCAAAGTCTTTCTGAACCAAGGGACCTGTGATACAATAAATGTCATACCAAAGTACAAGTCCAGTGATTTGCATTATCCTGACACTACATAGTACCCCAGATTTTTTACGTCTTTGTCCTCTCTGCGTTCACTGTGAATTTAGCCTTTTGTCCTCTTCTACAATTTCTGCTATCATGAACATCTTTTACAGGTAGATGACGGCTGACAATTTGAATTGTCTCACTAATCTGCTGTGATGGTGAGCATAAATTTCTACATCTGATGACAAAAAGCAAGATGAAATAATCTGTTTCCAAATATGACCAAGACAATGAGCCTACTTTCTTAAATGTTTGAGACACATAATATGGCCAAACACATATAAAAATCAAATAATCATAAAATTAAATAAACTGCTTTTTTCTTTGGTTCTATTCTAAAATAGAAAATCAAAGCCTCTGAGTTACATGCAACAGAGCAAATACCACCCGATCAGCATTAATTCCTTTACATCTAAAATATGAGTTCTTAATCATACTATTGCATTTGTTTTCTTCTTCCAGATAACAAAAAAAAAAAAAGAGTCTGCAAGTGGAGCTAAACAAATTATTTTAGAAAACAATCAGATATAATATGACTCTAAGTGAAGATTCCTGGCACTTTTCTATGTGTGCAAGTGTATGCACTTCGCATACCAATGACAAAGCTGGAAAGAAAACTCACCTGTTTTCTTCCTCAAGATCTGCTAGGATTCTCTCTAGCTCCCCTCTTTCCTCACTCTCTAAGGAAATCAAGATCTGGGCAGGACTACGAGGCTGGCTCAAGGGGGAGTCCTGGTTCAAACTTTGGCAGTAATGCTGGATTAACAAATGTTCATCATCTCTGGAAAATAAAATCAAAGGTTTTGGTTTTTTCCCCCCTTATTTTGATTTGGGGGTCAGGGACTTGGGTGTGTACTTAAAAATAGTAACATTTATTTGTTCTTAACAATTAATTAGACCCTTTTCCTGCTTCTAAAGACATTCTGATACTGTTGAGGTTGTGGTCTACCATCGTATTGGTGAATATTCCAAGTGTTTTTTGCTCAAATTTCCAAGTGGAATGGACTGGCTTATTTATACAAAAGGTAGTGTTACAGAAATATGGGGGCTCTGTGTTGACAGTTTAGCCAACAGTTAATAAATATTAAAAGATATCACAGCTGTATAATGCATTTTCTCCTAAGCCTGTCAAGATCACCTGTTCACTAACCTACACTACTGTTGATTCCAACTAGGAAAAAAATGCAGCCCTTAAAATAGTAGAGTAAATGTTTTCTTAAGTGGAAGGCAATGTAACCAAAAAGGGTTGCTTCAGTTAGCCAGTTTTAACTGATAAGAGTCATGGAAGCAGGATGCTGATAATAATTAAACTGGAGATAAATGATTGTTTTCTTCAATTACTCTTTAGAGAGAAAAACAAAAATCAGGGGTGGGGGGAGCTATTAAGGTGACTGATTAAAAGAAGACCAAACAACTCATGCCTTAGAGCAGGTTTTGAGAATTAGTCTTGCAGGGAAAGGAGGCAAAAAGATTTATCTTTTGAGAGACAGCTGCACTTTTTCCTGGAAACTAGAACTCCTTAATACACAGTGCTCTGAGCTCCAGAAAAAAAAACTCTTTCCTGGAAACTAGAACTCCTTAAAACATAGTCCTCTGAGTTCCCGACAGTCTGATTTCCTCCAAGTTATAAGAACTTCACTCTGTTCTTAATGAAGGCTAAAGCCCCTTTGTTTCTGGTTAAATATCATTAAGATGACACATTAATATTTCCTTCTCCCTATGACTTAAGTTTAAGTGGGAAAAAGTCAGATATTTAGGAAAAGGCCTCTTGATTTAAATTCTTTTGGCCCATCAACTAGCCATCAGTTGGTTGAGACATAAAAGGCTGACTAAAAATAATTAGTGAATGTTAGAAACATTTACATGAAGTCAACCAATCCATCAAACCATTTCCCCAAATATGCCCTAAAATATGATTTTTATCATTCAACATTGAGTCTAAATGGATCTTATGTCCTCAGAATGAACTAAAGCTTAATTTCATTTAAAAATAAAACAAAGGCAGTCTTACCGCATATCTAATTTATACCCCTCTTCCCAAACTCTTAAATTCTATTGCTAGAATTTCCCATGTTTAATTATAACATACAGTAATAATTAAAATTTTCTCACTGTTCTCTTGGGCAGTTAGTGAATGGCAATGCTGTTACACAGACAGAACTGAATTAATTTGAATGTGCTAGAGCTTCTAATATCAAAATCAGTGATCCAAAGAAACAAATCATTCCAGCCATTTACATTTGGTTGATTCTTTGGCCACATATTTTTCTGTGAAGGCATTTTACATATTAATACCATTAATACTTTCTTCCCATAGCTAAGGAAGAAAATACATCACAACTATGTTGGGAAAAGGGTGTTTTGCTTGTTTCTCTGAAGTAACTAAGTCATATACAAATGACTGAGTATGAACCCGATTCTTGATTGCCTTTATCTAATAGATGATTTATCCTCATGTCTTTAATAACTAGTTCTATATTGAAACACTACTTTGATACTATTTCCCTCAGTCTAATCCTTACGAAGGCCTTTTTCTCATCTGAGCATGAATTTAAGTTGTCACACCAATTACAGATGATAAATTTACCCTTCTTCTCTCTGCCTATATTTTCCATGATAGGATGGTGAGATATCCATAACTTATTGAACTGAAAGCATCTTCATACTGGGACCAGCTTTCTTCTCTCTAAATCATTTATTCAGTTGACAGATCCTTCTTATTTGCTTCATAATGAACTCTCTCCACCTCAGGCCCTGGTCTTGTTTACTTGGTTCATGGCAATGTTTCTTGGTGCTCCATATTGTTAACACTGTCCTCACTCCCTAATGAAACCTGTTTCCTTGCCAAGGCTGTATGTGTTGCCATTTTAACACTACTCCACCCCCTCCTTTAAAGTTTAACAGGGCTGGCTTATCATCCTACTAACAAACTGGGACTTGAATTTGTATTTCCTCGTCTGGATGCCCTTCACACTACTGTCTCACTTTTCTTACCTCATGATGATGCTAAATCACAAAAATTGACTACTTTGAATGCCTGAAGGAAAATGTCTGTCTAACCTACCATATGGGAATAGCAGTGCTATGCCAAGATAACATTTCCACTCCCTACGTATGAGTCGAAAAAGTACTACTTAGTTATCACCTCAAATTTAATATTCTATCTCTTTAAATATCTGGCAGCTTTGATCAAAGATTGGGCATTTAATATAATATTTGGGATTGAAATTTGTAATAATATGGTATTAAATAAATTTAAATAAAAATGAGGCAAACTATTTTTTCTATCCTGGAATACCAGTAATGTCAGAATGTAGATGAGCTCATTCTGTGCCAGGCTGTTAAGAGTTAATGAAAAAAGTAAATGAATGGCTCCTTGAAAGATCAAATGAATATGATGCTAGTTCCTGTATCCTGTGCTACCCTACCTTTAAATCTCTCAAAGCAATTTTCATCGTCAGGAACATTTTGTAAAAAGAGATGGGATACTTACATGCTCTCATTAGGAGAGATGCTATCATTTAGATAAGATCCATTGCTGTTTTCCATTTCTGCTAGCCTGATAAAAAACGTAAAAGCTCATTAAAACTTATGTGACGTCTTAGAATCTATTCAAGACCTAATCGAACATTCCTGAAAACTAAAGGATAAATCATGGCAAGAGGAGAAAGGAATCCTTCAAAGTAAAAGATGTGTGTGTTGGCTTAATCATTGGACGCAGTGTGTGGTAGACCATAGCTAGTTAGTAGCTTTACATTTATGATAATTTCTAAAGGAAGTCGTACTTCATAGTTTTATTTTGTTTGTTTTTCCTCACAGATCAATCTCCCTTTCACTGAGAACAGATCTTTGTTTTCAGAAGAAAAGCTCCCCTAACAACAAATGCACTCCATACCTGGCACTATTCCTTGTCTTTTAAGACAATTAATGCTTTCCTCTGATGACAGACTTATATAGCTAGTTTAAAATTCTTCTATCGATTGACAAGCATATCTAGCAGTTAGAATATTGATAAAGGATAGATTCACGGTAAGCTTTCTAAATGTTCCGCTACCAATTTTTACCTTTAAAAATTTCCTTCGCTTTAGACAATAATGTCTTTTTACAACTGAAAAATGGTTAAACAAACTCTTAGAGATTTATTTACCAAAGATCATGTATTTTACAATTTGTAATTCAGTGTTTAGGTATAAAAATGATCTCAAACACAAAGAAGGTGGGACAGAAAGGTCCAAGGGTTAGGAAAATTAATTATGCTCTTCTTTACAGAATATCATGTAAAATAAACACACAAATACAAAGCTGATGCTTTAAATATTTGCCACATAACATAGTATTGTTTCTTTATATTATATATTAGTAGCTAGTCTAGCAGTTTTCTGAGGAGGTTAAACGATTTGTAAGCTGCTTTAGTAAATGTGCCCAGTATACAAGACATAACGAGGCTACTGGAAATGTTCAAAGGCCAGGGTTAGGGAAGACTGTTCTGGACTGATTTTCTTGTTGGTGTCCAAAAACAACATGCAGTGGAATGGCATGCACGTTAGAGGGCAAGTTGATTAGTACAGATCAGACAAGATTTGGGAAGAAAGAAAAGATTTGTTTAAAATTATATAGGTTAGCTTTCCTTGGTTAGTTATTTCAATCAATATTTGCCTGGCATTCAACTAGTCTCATACCTGCTAGCATAATGTTCAATGCGTGAATGAGTATCATCGTGTGAAAGCTGAGGGGACGAGGCAGGCCTATAAGGCAGAAAATGTGATTAGTCATAGATACCATCCATTAATGGAGAAAAAAAAAAAAACCCACCACACAGTTATGTCATATACATGGTCTAGAATGCTTTTAGTCTAATTCTATGGATAATGTACACTTTGAGTTCTTTCCGTATCTTAGAAATCGAGTATTTTAAATCAAGTTTGAGAGGTGATTTATCATACTTCTACTTTTCTCTAAAGCCACAAATAAAGACCAAAAATTTCTCTGAAAAGTTTCAGTTATAGAAAAGGTGGGGAGAGTTATTTTTTACATAGCATTTTGCCCTTCTACCTTTTACTTTCTTATACCCTCTAGTTCTGAAACTGTGTTGGTATTGTGTGATTTAAAGTTGTAAGCAGTTTACACTTGTGCCGTTTACTAGTTACCTTTTCATTGCATGGATACTGTACAATTACCTAGGACATTTATAGTCAGGAACTTCAGTTGCAAAGAGTCTATTCCAGTCTAAGACTTCTTAAGAGTCCATGTATCAAGATGTCTTGGTCAATGCAATTTTGAAAAGAAGGACTATATCCACCAGTTTAGCAGCAGGACTATACTACTTATTTATAGAACATCAAAGAATGACCTGAAATTATATTATGATGTTTTTAAAAAGAACAACTAAATTCAGTAAGATGAATTTAAGATCTGAAATATTTCTTATTAGGGATACCATGTACTAAAATACAGATGGGAAAATAACAGAAGCAGCATGAGTAGTCTATATGTTTTTTTGTGTGTATGAAAAACCTACCATTCCCTAGCTCCATATGCTAGAATTTTGGTAGAGTTAACATTTTTTCATTCCTTCATATCTGATCTATTAATTATCCTTGAAGTTTTTACAGTATCTTTTGGATTAACCTTAGGGAAAAGAAACCATCTGTTCTGCAAACCAGTTTGGGCTTGTGTTTTTTTTGTTTTAATTGGAATAGGACAAAAGGTCTCTTCCATTTCTCTACTGACACAGAAAGCCCTTAGGTAAAGGCATGAATCCAAAAGTCAACAGTAATGTATTCAGTGAGGACTCTGGTTTAGCCCTACATCCAAGCAGCTATTTAAAAATTTGGTCTAAACATTAAGAATATGTTTGTTTTGTCTTACATTTAAAAAAAAGAAAATGTAGTTACTTGTAGCTAGGCTTACATAGAAAATGTGCCAGAAATTTATATCTCTTAATGAAGGTACACTATCATAAAATAATTAAAGCACACCACAGCAACTACATAAGGAACTGGAAGTCTTCTCTGAGAGATAAAAGGTCGTCTTCATGAAATCAATGTCATCTAGGTCAATGAAATCGTAATCAAATTAAAGTGAATTACAAAGATGTTTAAACTGTCATGAGAAAATAAAACTATGACTACCCAATTTAATAGGTAGATCCGAAGATTTTTATGTGACTCTTCAGTATAGTTTTGGAAAGTAATTTTCTAGAAATTAGTAAAATGCTATGGTTTCTTCTTTAAAATCTTCAATGCAGTTGAGAATTTAATACTTGGATTATTTGGCTTATAGGCATTACCTTTGATAGACCAGTCTTTAATGTATATATTTTTATAAGGTAAAACTCCACCATCAAGTGTGGCTGTCAGTAGTGTTTTCCCTTCTAATCGTTGCTACCCTGGTAGCTTTACACTAAGAAAGAAAAGTTGAGACTGTGGAGTATAATTACACCAAGAAAAGTAGGTATGTAAATCCAAAACATTTTAACATAATCTTATATGAATAGTTTTACACAGAGCTTTAATTCTTAGCCTCAAAGATAATTCTATTATCTTTCTCACTACTGTACATAGCACCTATCACACTATGCATAAGCACAAGAACTCATAACAATCAGAAATCTTAAAATATATACACTAAAAGAGGCACTTCTAAAACCAGAAAGTGAGCCAAAAGGGAGTACTGGTCAGAGAAGAACCATCAGAAAAAACAAGAATTAGTACAAAAACAAAACCACTTCGTCCAGAAACAAAACTAAGTGTGAAGCCTTCTAGAACACTTGCAGAGGAAGGTCACAATACTGTTTCCAGTTCCCACTTCCTAAATATAAGACCATATACCCAGAAGGTTTACTTCCTATTTTCATTAATGATCTACTTGGCCAATTCTATTCAACACATAGCCATTTTCTTTTTTGTGAAAACTCTTCTAATAAGTTTTCATTCATTTGGATTTCAAAGCAGAATAGGTCAAAGAATACTGGTTGACTGTCCCACTTAGGGATGAGCAATATAAAAGGCCTATGCTAGATATAGTTTTAAATAATATCGGTTTCTCACTACACTCAAACTCTTTGACCATATTAAACAGATTAAATAAATACTGTCATTGACATAAGATTTGTTAACATCCAATAGAATTCTTGCAAAATAAAACATGTGAAGACCTAGTTCTTCTGCCTGGATAGAGTACTTCTACAATTTGTATCATATATTATTTATCACCATATCAGTAAAGATTTTAATAAAATCACTAGTGTTAAAGAAAACACAACTTTTAGTCTGTTGGGTTTATTTTCTTCCTCAAAATTAGAATATCCCACTGTTTCTCAATAATCTAACAAACTTTTCATAAAAAGACAAGTTAGGGCTGTGTTTTAGTTGTTAGAGGAGATATTTTAATTAATAAAGGATGTTATTAATTTTGAAGTGCTTCATCATTTAAGAAAGACAAACATCTCTCCTTAAAATAAGTTACTGTAAACTGTTAATCCTAACTTTTTTCTCATTAGCTTATAGGCTGGGGCTGCCTTTTCAAGAAACCAGTAGTTACTCATTGCTTATCTTTGTGTTACTTTTTTACATGCATTTAAAAAAATATTCTTTATCAGACTTGTCTTTAGGATTCCTTACTTGATTAAACTTATCCCAACACTGAGTAAATCCTTTCAGTTATCAGGATCAAAAAAAACTGAGACCTTCACTATCTCAGTTTTCAAAAAGTTGCTTATTTATGAACCAAATACACTACCTGACGTAGGAAACACAATTACCAACAGGCAGGGACATAACTGTACCGAAGTAACTCCCCAAGTTGTTAAACATGATGATTAAAGAAATCAGATAGTTCACTGCTTATAGCTACTCGATCTCAGAATTAAGGGATATGATAATGCAATTTTTAAAAAGAAAGATAAGCTTTCTACTTCCTTTAGGCTGGGAGAGACTTAAAATAAACCCCAAGAGGGTTAACAAAAAGGGGCTACTTTAAATGAAACTACATAGGAGAACAATGAAAAAGGCCCAATAAAAATAAATTGAATGCTTACATAAGCCCATCTTCCAAATTGGTCATTTCCCCTTTATACATAATACAGCCACCTGACTCTCATTAAATAATTTAATAAAGTATACTCTGAAATACCCAAAATTTGTCAGAAAAACCTCACATAGTACAATTTTAAGACAGGAATACTGTTTGCTAATATATAAGTCACAGGCCCCCAAAAGAGTTTTCCGACATTGTAAAATCTGAGAGAAGTCATCTGTTGGTGTCTAACATTAGTATTATTAATACACACCAAAAGTAATAACAATGACTACAGTACACTTCCCTTCCAGCATAAATGTGTAACTATTTATGAGCTGAACATTTACTTTGGAGAGGAGAGCAAAGTGAGTTTAGTTCAAAATTTGGAGACCCATGAATATAAAGATTAGTCAAATAACATGGCATAACCTGATAAAAAAATCCACACACATCAGTGCAATTATTCGAGCACACTCAGCATCATACTGGGAAACACATTCTGCTGATTTTTAGTAGTCCACTTATAACAGGCCGTAAGGAATAAACCATCATCCTTTTGTGGGTCCTAAAGCATTGAATCCTAAGAAATGTGGCTAAAGAATGTTATTATATAATCAGGAGGCTTTCCCTTGACTAGTTGAAGAAATCTATAAACACATCTCCCAGAAATACAACTACAGCCCCAATAATTTCTTTTCTTTCAATTTAAACTCAGGCCAAGATTTCTGCTGGTTAGAATTCCACCAGGTGGCAGACCTGAAAACCTCACTCAGAGTCTCCTGATCTGCAGGTGATAGCACTCTCAAGTCTTAGCAAGAGAAGGAAAAAACAGAAATGAAGGAAGGGAAATTAGTATGTTTTTAAAACAAAACGAAATAAACAAACAGAACAAACATAGGAAAATCAAGCGAGCGAATGTGTTCGTGGTAGCAGCACCCTTCAGGAAAAGTACTCACGCAGAATCTACCGGCCAGAAGTTGATCAGAGTAACGGGACTGCAAAACAAAAAATGAGGTGGTGAAGAGAGACACAGGCAAACTCAGCCGCAAAAAAATTACTGAAAGGACAAAATAAATAAAATCCAACCAATTAAGGATGTCCATGGAAAGCAACAGCCAAACAAAAGTGAAAAGTGAATTAAAAAGAAAACGAACAGTCATGTGATTGCCATCAGAGTTAGGGGAAAAAGAAGAGAGAGTTTATAGGAGGTAAGATCTCATCAATTGGATCATGAGAATAATTACTACTTACTGTGAAGTAACTTCCTGTGACTAGATTTTTCCTCAAGTAGAAAAAAATGACTAGATATGACCATACAATCAGATTAAAAAAAAAAAAGACACACATCTACTGATTTGTGAGGGAGGAAAATCAAAATGAAATATTGGAATCACTCACTTGTAAACAGTCCCATATTTCTTAAAAGTCTAGAAAGGCAATTAGTGGCTATAATGTGTTATTTTCCTGTGGGATAAAGTTTAACTTCCAGGAAAGGTAATTGTCAAGAGACAGAGGAAAATGGCAATTGAACATCAGCTTGTTTTTCTCTTTTTAGTGCCAGTAAATCAAAAGAAATAGAAGAGACTGTTTGCATTTTGGAGTGAAGGATGGTTTTCCACTGAGAGGAGTTCAAATATACATCAAGTCAGAGTCTATTTTGCTTTTGCCATTACTCACGTTTCCATGTTGTCCCCCTCTAAGACAGTCTGTACTGGCAGGTAGCCCATGCGGGGATGCTTCGCAAAATACCTTTTGGTTCGAAATTTGTTTTTTAGTACCTTGGCAAAGTCACGGACATCTTCTCCTGATGTAGTCTGAAAAGGAAATCACAGTGAGATCAGATTTAGGACAGAATGATTTCTAAACAAATGACTACTGCGGTCTTCTGCCTCATGGCCCTTGTTTTGTAATTTAGGGGTGTGGAGGTTGTGGGCAAAGGCTTTGGAATCAGACAAATGGGGTTTTGAACCCAGGCCTGGCATTCACTTAGTTGGATGGGTTATCTTCCTCTCCAAGGCTTCAATCACCTTTGAAATGTGGCAACAACGCTTCAACAAGTTGTCATGATGAATCAAGTAAGTATACAAGCTTCTAGGTTATTCCATAAATGGTGCTTTATAGAAATTATATGATATAAAAATGGCCCTTAAGTTTTATCATACTTTATTCTATTTTAGAGAGGTTTTTTTTTTTTTTTTCGCTATTGGGATTTTTTTTTTTTTTTTTTTTTTATAGAATCCATCACTCCCCACGGAC